CAGTCAACTGCAGTTCTTGTGAGATTTTTTGAGAACAAAAATCACACACACACACACACACACACACACACACACACACGCACACACAAATTCTATCATCAGCTAATACCTGTGAGCTAATGTGATTGCCACGGGGTAAAGAGGGGGAAGGATACTGGAGACTGGAATTAATGTATACACATTACTATATACATAAAATAGATAAGTAATAAGGACCTGCTACATAGCACAGGGAACTCTAGTCAATACTCTGTAATGACCTATATGGGAAAAGAATCTAAAAAAGAGTAGATATATGTATACCTGTAACTGAAGCACTTTGCTATACACCTGAAACTAACCCAACATTGTAAATCAACTATACTCCAATAAATTTCTTTTAAAAAAGAGCAAAAGTGACAAACATACATTTTATCATCAGCTAATGCACCTACCCTAGTGACTACCTGACAGAAAGAGCTTGAGCAATATTCTATATATTTTCATGAAAGGAGGTTTGTGCTGACAATTTTATAACTAGGTTGTGATAGTGGAAGTAAAAAGATTGAGTTTTCTTTATGCTCTCCATGCCAGTTTTACATGTATTGCTTCTGAGCCCCAAATTCCAATGTCAGGGTGGGCTCCGTGGTAATAGTTGGCGTTCTTCTGGGCCAGTCTTCCTAGCAGAAGCACGATTCCAGGCTCTGTTGGAAGAGGGCACCTGAGGGCCTTTGCAGGCGGGAAGGTGACTGTCACTGGCTCAGGCTGCTGCTGTGTGGTGCTGGTGGGTAAGCAGTGAGGGGGAGAGGATATCCAATGGCCTCCGCTTCAGCCATGCGCCCAGAATGCATGCTGTCTCCATGACCTGCACCCCTGACTCGCCCTGGGGACCACCTTTCAAGACCCTGCCAACGGGAAAACAGCATGCTTGGCCTCCAGCCGTCAGAGGTCTCCTGGCTCCCTTGCAAGTCAACTTGCTCACGTTTCCCTCCTGGGTCCCTTTTGGCCGTGGAGTACACCTGGTCACCCGAAGGTACTACAGCTTTCACGCTGCAAAGGCAGGTTTGTGGCAGCAACTCTGTAGCTCCCGGAGCCCCAGATATCTATGGAAATTTTGCCGACCCCTGTTGTGCTTTATTGGTGGAAACAAAAATAAGAAGTAATAAACACAAAGCATCTTCTTAAACAACTCCTGTTGCTCTATTTGGTTTTTCTCTCCATAAAAGTGATATTTTCATGTCATACTTTACTTTCATATGTTACCCCTCAAGTCTTTTAAATGAACATGTATTTTATGGGTAAACTCAGTACAAATAAGGATTTAAAAGGACCTCCTCCTGCGATCTGGGTTACTCTGCAAGAAGAATGATCCTAGAAACAGATGTTGGATTTGTTCTCTACCTGTATTTTAATTCCCTCCTCACATAAGGAAGTCAATAGATTTTATTTGAAGGTATGGGTTTGCTTTATAGTAAGTTCTTAAATATGGCAACCTTTATCAACTCACTGTACAAAGCCAGGCCTTTGTGAAGATAATAAGCCCTTTTCATTTGTCGGTGGTATATTTCATGAAACCAGGCAAGATTTCAGAGATAAACTAAAGTTCTTTCTTTCCCCTTGACCTGCCGTAACTTTGGCTGTCGCCTTCCTTGTTCCTTTATCTCACTCCCCAGTTTACTGGGGCAAGGTTGCTGGGTGCAGTGATAATGAATAGTGTAGTTAACTCTTCTTTTTTGGACTCTAATTTTTCCTAAGATTCAATGAATATAAACACTATAGCATTCTACTTTTCCTCACAAAATATTGTTAAAAAAGATCCTTAAATCATCTTTTGCATCTCACAGTTTTTTCTTTTTTTTAATTAAAAAAATTTTTTTGGCTGTTGAGATCTTTGGTTCCCCAACCAGGGATCAAACCAGCATCCTCAGCAGTGAAAGTTTGGAGTCCTAACTATTGGACCTCCAGGGAATTCCCTCACATCATTTTTATAGTGTTAAGTCTCCTACATATCAGTTACTTATCTCCTGCACATGTGGTATAATTCTGTGGATCATGGTGACAATAGAAAACATCTTATTTTTAGGCTTCAGATGGTTAACAAGGGAAAATACTCTGTATAGGATAACAGGTCAAAAAAAAAAACAGATTTGGGGACCCATGGTTTTTTCTTTGAAAAATTTTAAGGAAAATGTTTTCTCTCTTTGGTTGTAGCACCATGAAGGTAATCAGTTGATATTTAGTATTTTTAAATGTTCAGAGAAACATTTTCATTTTTAATAGCTTCTCTATAAGAAGGTAACATAAAAATCTTAAAGTTCTGATGAATATATCTTTACCAGCACACAGCACGTATAGCCCTCAGATTATTTTTTTCCAGATTGTTTATTAGTGCAGGTTAAAAAAATAATAAATTCTTAAAAAAATTAGCACTGGTAAATACCATATGGTATTTGCTGTCTTGTACTGTAGGTGTTAACTCAGAAGCAGTATAGACATTTATGTTTCTCTCCTGAAATTTCTTGAAGGCCCATGATAGTAGAGACGTTATCTAATATTCTTACTTCTTTCCCAGCAAGCGCCTAGCTCCCAGCAGGTTCTCAGTAACAATATGGAATAAACAGTTTGTACTCCTACATGCCTCCCGACTCTTAGGTACCTCAAATTATCAATTACCCTCATTCTCCAACCTCTCTCTACTGGTTACTCATCCTTAGTAAAATGAACAGGTTGATTAAGGAAAACTCCTCTGCTCATCCAGGCCTGGCCACTTGTCCTGTCCTCTTGACTTTTCCTTCACAGCCAACTACAGGCCTGTGCATGTGTGTATTTTCCTAAGTCCCTTCAGTCAAGTCTGACTCTTTGTGAACCTATGGACTGAAGCCTGGCAGGCTCCTCTGTCCATGTCCTCTGTCCTCTTGTCTCCAGGCGAGAATGCTGGATCAAACCTGTGTCTCCTGCAGCTCCTGAGCTGCAGGCAGATTATTTATCGCTGAGCCACCCGGGAAGCCAATTACAGGCCTTCTTAGAGACAAAAGACCTGGAGTAGGTAGTTACTTTGGTCTCACAAAAGTCCTAGTTCCCTCCTTCACCAAAAGTCCTTATTATCCAGGAGTGTAAAGCTTCCGCATCACACCCGGGACCTGGGAGTGAAGTTATCCATAGCTCTGCTTGGCAACAGCTTTGAGCTCCACAAGTCCTGCCATCAGGTCTCTCCTCCAAACTGGTTCTGGCTGAGGAACATTGCCAGGTGTTAGACCTGCTCGTTTTGAGTTCAGGACAAAACAGAAACGTGCAGTTATCCATGGGGTGGTGACTGGGTATCTTCTGTGTCTGAAGAATTGCTTGAATGCAGCAAAAAATAGCTTAATAAAAGTCTCCCTGCTAAATAGGGAGATATTTTAATAAAGAGCACAAACTAGGATATACAAAATGAGAATTGAAAGAGAAACTTAGGTGTCAACTCGGGCTTTATGCTGATTCCATGCCATGTGGTGATCCTTAATTCACACTGTACAGTCCCTTAAAGGAACTTCAGAATGGTGTAAGGAGCAATTAATGTGTAATAAAGTGACACTTTATGATAAAGGATCAATATTTATCCTTACACCTGACTGAAAGTTTGTATCAGACTTATTTTTCATAGCAGTGATTTAACTAGAGCAAACATTTTAAAAAAACCAGGAGTGTGTTGCTCAGTTGCGTCTTAGTGACCCCATGGACTATAGCCCACCAGGCTCCTCTGTCCATGGCATTCTCCAGGCAATATTGGAACGGGTAGCCATTCCTTTGTCCAGGGGATCATCCCACCCAGGGATCAAACCTGGGTCTCAAAAACCTACCAGAATCGACTGATTTCTCCTTTCCTGCAGATGCAGCTAACACATGAAATGTGCCAGATTTTACCAACTAAAAGAATTTTCAGAAGGTAAAACTAGCAATATTAGAAAATGACTTTTAAGATAAACCATATAGCTTCCTTAATGTGAAACAGAAATCTCACCCAGAAAAAAATATGAACTTCAAGGCAGAACAATAAAAATGTTGCAAACCAAATACCATTATTTACACTTAAAATATTGATCTGAGGATGTAATTGTGTTCCACCTTTGCATATAAACAAAGATTCAATTCACCTGCTGACCCACAATGATTATACTAAAACATAATAATCCCAAAGTGGTCTGTAGACTGCTCTGGCAGGATTTGATTTATTTTGAAATAACAACTTCTCAGTCAGAAAAGATCTCAGGACAAATATTTTAAATCTATCAAAGAACTCATTTGTAAAAAGTCTTGTTACTGTACTACCTTTTTTAGGATATCACCAATTTTTGATGAGACACACATGAAAGACATTTATGATACTATGGAAAGAATCAGGTATGCCGAGCCTAAACACAATGCATACATTGTCTCACTATGTGTATATATATGGTGTGTCCCCTTGAGTATAAGACACACTTTGGGTCTCTGGACATGAGCCCTTTAACACCAATACCTTCACCTGTAAAATGGGGAAAATATCCCTGAAGTCATTCCCCAGTATTACTGGATAGATATTAGCACTTTGTAAAAAAAGACCAATGCAAATTAAAAGCATTAAGCGTTCTTATTCATTTTCTGTGCTTTTAATAACAAAAGCTCACAGAAGTGACAAATTCAAAAAGAGCAATAGAAGTAGCCTTTTCTGGCTATTTAACAGCTTAAAAATGATTTAAGAGAACTTTTTGCTATTCAACGGATATCCATTCATAGAGCTCCGGAAAAGTAATCTTTGAGAATAAAACTCTTTTTAGCAATAAAACCTCTCAACTTCCTAAGCCAATATATAATCATCCTAAAGGAAAATAATTATCTCGTTATCCTTTAAAGTTAAAACTTAGTTCTAACCATTTCCAATAAAATTCTCATTCCATATTCCATACCAGAAATGGCAGTTCCTTAAAACCCAAGTTTTAAACACTTGCTTTTCTGCCCATGAAAGTTATTATGTTTATACATTGTCAGTAAGACAGAAGATATCTTGGTGTAGAACATTTATTTATTTATTCCATGGAACACTCAAAGTTTAGATCAGTGGGAATTTTAATCAAAGAATTGTACATTTTCTTCCCACATATATCGCTTTGTATTAGGAAATGACATTGTGATCCATTTCACTACAATATTACAAAATATTTACAAGAAAATATTAAAAATAACTCAAACATGAAAGGCAAGATGGGGGTGAAATAAACTGGTTTTTCCAGAAATCTCTACTCCAGTGCCCAGAGCACACAAGAGAGCCAAAACAAAGTTCCCCTTGATCACAAGTTTCCAAGGAATTGGAGTAGGGGAAGAAACCGGATGAAAATGGTGGTATGAAGGGGGATGGATGTTATTAGCAGCACTGCTTCAATAACCAATTTATTTTGCATGAAATACCCTCTCTTTTATATGCAGTAAATTCTGAACAAGGCTAAACTTTAGGATATTCCTTGAACTGAAATTAAAAATACCCTGACAGTGAAAGCAACTCTTTCACCTAAGCTGAGTAAGAGCCTCTTTCTCCATGAACAACTGATGTGAACAGAAGCCTAATCTAGCATCCAAAGCTGTCACAGCAGCCCTTCCATCTCTTTCATGAAAGCCTCATAGACATCATCCTTAGTCTGCACCGACACAGGAACAGATGGGCCAGATTTGGGCGCTGTTTTGGCAAGAGGCACAGCAGAATCATCCTCTGACTTTCTCTGGGGAGCAGCAGCAGCCCCTTTATTCTCTCGACGCACCCGCAGTGCGGTGGGCACGAATCGTGTGATCTCTGCCTTGGGATTAGTGATCTGTGGCTTGGCACTGATGGTTGCCGTAGCTTTCTTCTCGATGGTGGCTGCACTTGTATCATCCGCCTTGGGTCGTTGGATCAAGTTGGGGGGAGCACTTAGAACCCCCGGGTTGGGTAAGGGAGCTGGTGGGAAGAGCCCAGGTGGGGCAGGTCCAAGAGGAGGCACCAGAGGTGGGCGCATCATGCCAGGACGGGGTGGAGGGATACCTAGACGAAGGAGAACACAATAATAAAATGTAACTACTATTAAGGACTTTACAAACACAGGCTGACAATTTCTTGAAAAGGACAATTTGTAGAAAATAAATTATACTGCCTGCTATCTGAAAGTCAGGAATATATTTTGATAGTAAAGAATATTTCTTTGTAAAACAGTTCTCACCTTCCATCTGTATCCCAATTCTTATGTTTTCCTCCTCTCTTAATAATGTACTACTTTAAACTATAAAGTAAAAGTAACACCACCAACTGTTTTCAAATATGATCTTAAGACGGCTGAATCTGTAATTTGACAACCTAAGATTTCATTCCATCTGTACAGTGCAGATGCGATCAAGCCAAGGTTGGGATTTGATTCCCATGCATTATTTACTGATTTACACAATACTTCTCCTCCTTAAAATGTAGCTGAATGGGCAGGAAATACAATTTTAATGTTGGAATGAGAAAATCTGACTAATCATAAAATGTTATCATTACTGGAAAAGAATTCATGTCTTACTGATGGTTTGGACATACCATTATCATTTACCAGGAAGTGCAGATTAATTTTCTCCAAACACCCTCTTTAAGACTGAGAATAAAGTACCAAATTTCCTCAATCTAGGACACTATTGCTTATACAGACTCGTAATTATTCCATATACCACTGAGAGAGAAAAAAATGTCCAAGAACAAGCTGAGGAGCTTAAAAGGAGACCTTCACATTAAATTGAGACAATCAATGTAGTAAACCAGAAATATACCTGCCACATATAAGATCAAAAGGAAATTTACCTATCTAACCTTGACACTAGGTAGAGAGAATGGAAGAAAAAAAACTTCCCCTTGTGATTGTAAATTTAAAAATTGATACCCATGCAGATGTATAGAATGACTTCACAACTCTAACTGTGGTCCTAAAAAAAAAATCTTAAATAAACACTTTAATCCAAAGTGTTCTCTGGCAAGGAAAAGTCCCCTCTGTGACAGCATCCAATTCAAATACCACTGGTAAGAACTTCTACCTAAGCCAAAAGCAATTAAAAAACACCATTTTAAGATACCACTTGATTTTAGGATACCGAAATGTGAAAATGTCTTAGGACAAATGAAATATATAGTAGACAGTTTTTTGTCACAGAAAGCAAAGCTTCACCTGGAGGTGCTGGGGGAGGTAGCCGTGGTGGGGGTCCCCGAGGAGGAGGGCCAGGAGGCAGACCTGGAGGTGGGCCTGGAGGAGGGCCAGGCGGCCGACCTGGTGGCGGGCCTGGAGGTAAAAGTCGGGGTAGAGGCCCTCGGAGCCCTGGCATTCCAGGTGGTCTCAGGAACGGAGGAGCTCCTGAAACGAGAAAAGTGCTCAGTTAACATCAAACAAATATATGTGAAGTAGTAATTGTGGTATAAGATAACTGAGATGTGGTTTCACTTTAACTTAACATCAAATAACTTCAAAATTTATTATGGTCCATTTCTCTTTATTTCCCAGTCCTAACATAAAGCATTTTAAACCACAGCTCTGCTGGGCTGGAGATACACAAAAATGACATTTCTTAAATGGCTCCAACATAAGCTGAAAATGCAGTATGAAAAGCATGGTGCTTTAAGGATCCTCTGAAACTCATTAAGATATACAAAGACCACTGAGAATGTCATAGGATAGGCAATTTTGCTTTGCACTAATCAGAAGAGAATGAATTCAACTGAAGACTTAACTGGCAGACTATCGGACTAAAAATCATAATTAGCCAGTAAGTTTTATATGTTATTTCAAGCTGTAAATTAACTTATTATACTTTAAAGCTGAAGACCTGATTAATACTGATGACTTCAGTCTCTAACTATACAGATTACACTAACATCCAGTAACTCCCAACCAAAGAAGGATATGCAGTAGCATCTACTATGCTCTCATCCTGTTCCCAACCAAGAACTGGGTCAACTCGGCATACTGAAGAGTAATTCTAAACAACCCTCAGTTATATACTCTAGTTTCTGCTTGTTAAACTGCTAATATCAGAACTGATAAACTCTGAAAAAGAAGAGCTCTGGAGAAAGAGACAGCTGTCACAAGTTCTGTGACTTGCAAACAGTGTTTTAGGAATGAGCAAGTTGTGCTTATCCTTGGAGAATCTTCATTTCTTAGAAAATTACACTAGCAGGAAACCAGAAATCATTACTACTAATGATGTCTACTTTCTGGAATACCTTCACTGTAACCACATTTAGGCTTATTTATTTACAGCATGTAAGTACTTACCTGGAGGTGGTCCAGGAGGAAGGCCTGTAGGTGGTCCAGGTGGCCGTAAAGGTGGAGCAGGTGGCGGTCCAAGCGGAGGTGGTCCTGGCATGGGGGGTGCTTGTATCTGAGACGGAGGAACAGACTGTGGAGGGGCTTGCTGCTGGGAAGCTGCAGACGTGCCATCAGAGAGAGACTCCTCCTTGTGCTGCTTCTGTGACTGCTTCTCTGCTTCGGAATCATCCGACTCTTCATCGTCGTCCTCTGAAAACTCCTCGACTTCTCGGCCCTCCTCGGGGATTTCCTGCCCTGAAAGAAATTGGAAACCAGACAAATGGAGCAGATTCGTACTTTACAGCCTGTGAAATAGCGATGCCACCTACAACACCTGCTCAATAAATGCTTTCTTAAAACTAACAACCAGTCTCCTTCAACAGAATACTCAGATACGCAAGAATACAGTAGTATTCTTCTCATCCATACCAGGGCAGCAGAGTGCAAGAAGTCCAAGTTTTAGAACAAGATAGACCAGATAGACCTGGACTTAAATGCCAGTCCAACTACTTACTGGCCAGCTAACTTTGGGCAGCTTACCTCAATGTCTCCAAACCTTGACTTTTGAAAAACAAGAATTTATTACTTGATTGCTGAGATATTAAATAGAAAAATGTATGTAAGGCCACTGGCAGGAGGAAATACCAATCACTGTTCTTTCCATGCCTCACCTGCCATTCGAAGCATCATGGCTTGGAGAGGAGTCAGCTCCTTCATGTTCTTCTTCTTCTTCTTTCTAGATTTTCCAGGCATATCTGCAAACCGTACACTCAGACCTAAAGGATCAGAGAAGGGAAAGGATCAACAAAATTCAGTATATGTTTACTATAAACAAATACTCTAAACACTAGCTATAACTGCTTCCCACTACTTGGCAAAAAGACAGAGCTATATTAAAGACAGTAAATCAAATGCCCACTGGTAGTAAATACATGCTACAGTGATTTTAAAGTTGAAAGTGAAAGAGTTAAGTCACTCAGTCCTGTCCGACTCTTTGAGACCCCATGGACTGTATAGCCCACCAGGCTCCTCTGTCCATGGAATTCTCCAGACAAAAATACTAGAGTGAGTCACCATTTCCTTCTCCAGGGGATCTTCCCAACCCTGGGATTGAACCCAGGTCTCCTGCATTGCAGGAGAATTCTTTCCTGAGCCACCACTACTGAAAACTTTATGCCAATAAAACTGAACATGCCGATTAAAGTAATTGATAATTTTCTAGAAAAATGTTACTTACAACTAGCCAAAGGGGTGACAAGATCAGAAAATAGAAATTAAAATGGTAGTCAAAGATAAAAGTTCCTCAAAGGCACCTGGCCCAAATAACTTTACAAGGAAATTCAGCCAAATGTTAAGTTACAGCAATTTCCTGTAAATGGGCATAGGAAAAGATGGAGTGCTATCCAGAACTTGAAGCTAGCATAACCCACATACTAAAATAAACCTGCTGGCCAACATAAAACATAAGCAGATTGAATTCGACAGTGTTTTAAAAGAAAATAACTTCATACACATGGAGGGTTGGTCCCAGAAATGCAAAAATGATTTAACATTAGAAAAGCCATTACAATAAACAGCTAAAAGAAACAAAAATCACTAACAATATCCCAAGAGATGATTAAAATGTATTTATGATAAAACCTCTTAGCAAACTTAGACTAGAAGGGAACTCCTTAACCTGACAAAGGCTCTCTACCGGACACCTGAAGAAGATAAATGGTGTAGTATTAGGAGCGTTCTTATTCTTAGATGGTAAACATTTATAGGCTAGAAGTTCTATGTAGGCAGGCTTTAGTTTTGTTTACTCTGCATCCTTAGTGTGTAGAAAAATGTTTTGTACATAGTAAAAACTCAATTATTAGCTGAATATCAAGTCATAGTTAGGATAACCATTTCCAACACATGTGCATCAATGAATATATTGATATTTGTATTCATCATCATTCAATATATAAAAAAATTAGTTGGTCCAAAAAGAGGAAAATGAGGCAAATGACCACAGTCTAGAGAAAAAGGGAACTGGTGTGGCTCTAGCGACTTTCCACTTTTCAGTACCACTTCTTACCTAAGTGTCCTCTACCATTTTTCACTACCAGTTCTATCTAACTCTTTAAACTAGCTTTCTGGTTTGCAACCATGATTTAAGGAATATCTGGAGAAAATTTTATCATCATTATCAATAATGTAATATCAGTAATATTACTAATACATAATGTTTTGAAGACAGCAAAACAATTACAAAAGAAGCTCCAAGGCTACTAGAATATGACAGATGGTACATTTTCTAAATTTCCTTAATGAATGACATAGCTACTTTCTGAAAGTACATGTAGCTCAGTCTGAATTTATAATAAACAGATAACATACATTATAAGTACGACGTTTCCATTAAATCATGACTCCACTCACAGGTTTACCTTTTTTTGTTCACTTAAGACTGCACGAACACAGAATAATATAAAGGACTTCAAACATAGATATATAAAGACTCATTAAAAAACAATCAGGTGAATATGGTTTTCTTCCTACACATAACCGTGATAGGACATCCTTATGCATTTTCCCCAAAAGTGGACTTTACTATGTAGACTTTTTTAAAAATCACATCACAGCTCAGTTTTTTTTTCCTTTCACAAACATCCACCAGGTACTTACTTTGTGTCAACAACGTTGAGACTCTGGAGCTACAAAGATGAATAGAGCACTGATCCTCCTTTCAAGGCACTCACAATTACTTTCATGGATCCATTAATAAATCAAGACCTTCAGCTTGTGTGCTTTTTATTGCTTAATACCATGAAACTTCCATCTTCACATACCTGATTTTTTTTCTTCATTGTTTTCTCTCTCAGTGTCATCACGGTGTACAAATTCATCCCCTTCACTTTCTCCATCTGATCTGTCACTGTCGCTGTCATCAGTACTGTCGTCATGCTTATCCTGGTCCATGTCTTCAGGATAGCCATCATCTTCACTGGTGCTAGAAACATCATCATCATGACCCCGCTGAGCTAGAAAGGGAAGAGGGAGCCAGGATCAAGTTACATAGCTGGATCCTATATGGTACCCCCAAATACAGAAAGCCAGGCTATTTGACTCAGAATAACTTGATTAAATTTTTTCTATATGAACTCAGCTATTCATATAGTCTGACAATATTTCCACTTGACAATAGTTTTAAATTCTCCTTTTTTATAATGTAAGATTTTTTTAAAGCTTTGAAGCTTTAAATTTCAATTTTGAAATTGAGAACAAATTCCACTCAGAAAGCTACATAAGGACATGCACATACACAATCATTGTAACTGTATACAAGGATGCTCCAGTCGAATGAAAATAAAGCTAAATGGGAAACAAGTACACAAGTGACCAATTTTTAAGGTACTGACGGTAAGAGTGTATCTTCAAGGAAAGTCTACTTTAAAATAGAACAGACATTTCTATAGTTCCTTATGCATGGTGTTTTCCTGAGTGGATCTATGATTTATCCATCTGTTGGTATGTACAGGGTAGCCTCATTTATTTCCCAAGTTCTGAGGGTGGTGAACAAGATGTTATACAGCCAAATAAAAAGTGATGGTGGAAACGTTCTAAGAGCAAAAGGAACAGTCACTCCTTACCAAGTTCAGGACTATATAACATATCTTCATCTCGCCTACGAGCAGGAAGATCTAGGGCAAAGCCCACTTTGCGGCCATACATTTGTAAGACTTGAGGAGGAGGTGGGCCCGGAGGAGGACCTGGAGGTTTCCTGCCAGGGGGCAAACGTGGAACGCCATGTCCAAGAAGAGGAAGTATAGAAACTGCCCGAGTTGGAGGTCTGTAAAGAAAATTTACAGCGATCACATTACCAGTAATGAGACACCCGCTTCCTCTTCTAAACAGTTTTTAAAGGAGCTCTCAGGTTCTATCTAACGAAAGAACTGCTTACATCCCCACTGTCCTTTACTTTCCACTGCAATAATATTGGCACAGGACAGTCAAGAGGTGCTTTTACTACATGCTATTGGGTTCTGTTACCACTTCCTTACCCATAGGCTGAGGTCTTCTTAAGGATAGAGGGTGGCTGGGCCCCAGGAAGTGGAATGTCCTGGATCAAGATGTTGGAAGGAGCATGAGGCATATCTGGCAGAGGAATACTCTCCACTTCCACATGCTGGGCATTCTGAAAGAGAGTGTCTTCTGGTCAGTAAGAGTAATTCCCCAACTCAATACCACAAACTCTACATCAGCTGTTTCATTACCTGGATTTGCTTTCCACCTAACATTAAGTATCATGAGAAACAAAACCAAGTCATCATTTTTAAGACTGTCAGTTAGTTGAAACCTCTGGATAGTATGTATTCAGTGGTAGCACTTGGACTCTAAAATTAGCCTGCTGCTGTTGAATTCCTGTCACATACAAGCTGTATGACGAAGTAAGTAACCTTAGCTTTCTTATCTGTAAAATGGGACCCATGCTACATACTTTACCAAATTAAATCATTTTTTAAAAACACTTTTTTCTTGAGGTAAAATTTACAATAAAATGTACAAATTCAGTAAATTTTGACAAATGCATATAATTTCATACTCACTCCCAATCAATCCTTAACACTATGCCAAGGCTACTACTGATACAAATTTCTTCCTCCATAAATTAGTTTTGCCCGGTCTAGAATTTTATGTAAATGGGATCACAACCATGAAGAAAGGATAGTATGTTTTTGAGATTTAGCCATTAAAATTTTTACCTCATGTTTTTTGGATTATTAGCTGATTATTCCTTTTTATTACTGAGTAGCATTTAATTTTAGGAAAATGTAAGTTTACCAGTTATCTCATTAATGGGAAGCTGGGCTGTTTCCACTCTAGCTATTACTGTAGTGGCAGGTAGATCAAGTTCTCTTGTATAAACACATAGGGTTAGATTTGCTGGCTAATGGGGTAGGTATATGTTTAGTCTGACAAGAGGAGGAGGTTCAACATCATTGAGTTTCCCATTATCTTAGTTTAGCTCTCAAAAGAAACGTGATTACCTTGACAGCATCAAAATACTGGCTAAGTTGAGCCCTCTTCTGTTCATATTCTACTTCTAGCTTTCTCAATTCTTTGTAAATATCTGGATTCTCTTTCTCATAGAGACGTAGAATACGTTCAAATGTTTCACGTAGCTTTTTACGCTTGTCTTTCAGCACTTTCTCATTTAACTGTGGCTGCTGCACTGGGTTAAACTCTGAGAGGAAAAAAAGAAGATTATGGCATTAAACACAAAGTCACTTCAACAGATTACATCATTTATTAAAAATACATTTACATGTTAAAACTTTTCAAAAAGGATTTAGACACCAGATATATTCTTGTCAAAAAAAGAACTTTACAGTTTATTGAAATTTCATCCCCTTAAGATGCCTATTAATTTTACTTCCTTTCCTAAGAAATGTCACCTAGTTGACTTTACTTTTATTATCATTGTAATAAAAATCAATTTCATTCCTCTATGCTAACAACCTGATACAGCTGTTAGTATATCAACAACTATAGGCCTGGGCTTACATACTACACTGGGTCTGTCATTGAATTCTGAGATCGTGCGCACTTAAACTCTCTGATCTTCGTCTTCTTCATCTGGAAAATGGGGACATCAACTACTTCACAATCAAACTCTGATGATCAAATGAGACTGCAAACAAACTGGTATCTGGCTCACCACTCAACTATTATTTTTATATGAGTCAGTGTTCCTTGTTGAGCTACTTAAACTTTTCTCTTCCGGTGTGTTGGGAGCTTAATTTGGTCTCCAAGAGGGACCAAAAGGGATTGGATTAGCACAGGACTCCCAGGTCTGCCTGGTCAACCATACCTGCCGCCCTCCATCTCCCTTTGCCAGTGACTGACTCAGAGATCAACCAGCACATGAGCCAAATTGGGACCAGATCCTTCTCTGAGACTTTAAATATGGGAAAGAAGCTATCACATGTAGGAATGAAATAAACCTAGAGCTGTCCATGGCCTCATCTCTCAACCATCACTAATTCCACCACATATTCCACCTTCTATCCAAGAAATTCACTGGCTGAATAGAATTTCTTCTATCTAAGAAATTCACTAGGTCAGAGAGATGGACAGTCTTGCTCAAAATATTTGGGTTTTTGAGACCTACTTCCCTCCAGGATTTCCCAATTATGGGAGTCAAGGAATACTTTTTTCTGTTTAAATTAGTTTGTATTGAGTTTTATGAATTATAATTAGAGCTCTGATGACTAGTGCTCCTTCCTCCTTTTTCTTTTTTTTTTTCCATTTATTTTTATTAGTTGGAGGCTAATTACTTTACATCATTACAGTAGTTTTTGTCATACATTGAAATGAATTAGCCATGGATTTACATCCTCCTTTTTCTTAAAAGAATCACAAGCTTACTTACTGTCTTTCTTAAATCTCACTAACACTTTGATGATGTATTCAATATCAGAATCGTGGTCTCAAACCACACTATTCCTAGTGTGATTCATGAAAGTGCTAAGTGTTTAACTTTAAATCCCAGCTGTGCCCCTTCTGAACAGTGTAACCTTGAGAAAGGTAATGTCTCTGTGCCTAAGCTTCCTCAACTGTAAAGGAGGGACAATAAACCCACCCAAAAAAGCTGTTGCAAAAGTGAAGATTAAATGAAAATTTGGGGGGAAAAAAAAAAAAGAACCAACCCTGGCATGTAACAAGATAAAAGCTAAATAAACCTAAGTTATAAATACACAATTTGGGGTCATTTAATAGGTAAATATCCTGACATGCCAGGGAAAGCAATTGTCCCTACCAATATTTAGACTAGAAGCAACAAGTGGAGGGAGATGATGCAGTTTGACCCAGAACTCTTGCCCAGGCTGGCTTCAGTATCTGCCACATTATTTGAGAAAGCTTTTAATACCACAACCCCACATAACTGGATGTTTTTGGAACCCCACTTAATGCATCACTGAGAAGTTTCATTGCGCCTCTTTCACCTACTACCTGTTTTTCTTGGGCAAACCACGAAACCTGTATGGAAACCTTTGTAAACAAAACTCGTAAAGATTCTTTAAAAAAAAAAATGCAGGGGACAGAAGGCAGAATTGGCAAAAACTTGACAGCTGAAAACTATGGAGTTAATTAGACTATTTCTGGATGTTTGAAAGCTGCTAAAAAAAGGAAAATTAAAAACCCCATGTTCTCAAGTTAACAGAATGGGTTGAATACAGAATCCATTTTGTGACTCTCCTCTGTATTATTTAATAACTACCTAAAGTCACTTTAGGCCATTCTGGACTCCTACTTTTAATTAATTGTAATCTGTTAAAAATACTTCTGAAGACTTTTTGCCTTTCATACCTGTAAGTATAAAGTATATAAATAAGGAAATAAGGGTTAATTAAATATGTTATATGATCTTTGGGACTTGGTAAAACTGCATTCTATTCTGAAGAGCTTTTTAAACTAAACGAACTTCTCTGTGAGTTAGAATAGAACTTCCAGTGGCAGCATCACAGATGATTCTCAAGCAACTCAGATACAAGAAAAGATAACATGCAGCTATTTCACATGGATTCCAGTAATGACAAAGCAGTGATACTGAAGATGCACGTGATGAGACTAGATAAAATTATCCTATATAATGCAAATAAGGAAGAAAGTCTAATAGGATATTTTTTAAAATGTGATTTTAAGTATTTGATTTCTTCTATGTCCTTACTAAGTAGTCATTTATCTTTGGATCATCTATTGGAAAAGAGGGACAACGGACACATTCATGGTGGCCCAATATTGAGATTTACATGGTAGGTGCCAACATTGAAACCCAAAACAAAAAAAGCCCAAGGTGATTTCAAAAAGCACTTAAGTCTTCTCTTAAAAAAATGGACTGGCCAAACTGGGCTTTTGTTATCTTATAAAGAACAATTAGCTAAAGCTAAATAATGGCTTCCCTCTTATTCTAGATGATATTTGAAGTTGGTAACATCCCTTCACTCCATTCAGTTTTTCTAATGCTAAAACTAAATCCAAGCAAAATCCAAGCATCGTGTGCTGTCATGCTTTCTGTATTTCTGTATCTGTAATTCTTGCATCTGTTCTGCTTCACTCATTAACTGCCTGTCTCTATGTATCAGACTATTATCTCTGCTATAAAATCCATCCCTTTACAAAATCTTACCCATTTCATCCAATTTTTCCATGTCCCGGATAATTTGTTTGGGATCCTTCATCTTTAAAACTGCAGCTCGTACCATCATGCGCTGTTTTTTGTTCTTAAAAAAAAGAAAAAAGAGCACAATCTGCAGAAGCTGAATACTCCTGAGTTTTCACTTCAATGTGTCTCAAAAATCCATTTAAACTGAAGCTGAACTTCTTGGTTTCTGATCACTTGTTTCAACCACTGGAAACAGGAGTAGTATCATTTTTTTATTCCCCCAAATGTTTCCAGTTTAGACAAAAAGATGTAAGTTTTGCAAAATTTAATGCTAGCAATGAAATAAGAATGAACAGCTGAAAACTAGGTTCTCTCAGTATGTTAAGGCATGACACTAAAATGCAAATCCTTTTTTATTCTGGGGACACTTTTCCACAAATTCACAAAATCATCATCAGGAAAATTTAGTGTCACATTTACTTCCATTCACTAATTCAGTAGCTTCCAACAAAGCAGTTAAATAGCAAGAGAAGTGTTTCTTAAAGTATTTCTCTAAGTCACTGAGAATGGTAATCAAATAAAAATGTTATAATAACTCATCATGAGCTTATCTACAAACTTAGTTCAGTTTCCCAGCACTGTGGCTTAGTAAATCTTATGGTTTGTATGAGAAGCATAAAGTATCTTTTCTGGCAAATAACTGGAAATGTTTCTAAATCCACTCATTTCAAATAAGAGGGGTCAAATTACACTTATGTCTAACAGGATGCTTCTGGAATCATACCTTCTTTAATTCTCTTTTCCGAGCTTCTTTTCCTTAAGAGAGGGAGAGAATATAAAACTTAAAGCCTTGAACATTAGCATTTTCTCCAATTTAATACAAGTAATTTTTTACTGTCAGAGGTTGCTCTGTGAGCTGTAGGATATTTAACACCATTCCTTGCCTCCACTAGATACCAATAGCACCCTTCTAATTATGCCAACCAAAACTGCCTCAAGACATTTTTAAGTTCCTTAAAAAAATAACGATGAATCTGAAAAGATGCCATAAAGTACTAAAAAGGCACTTACAAAGCAATTTGTTAAAAATGCCACATACAAAAAAGAAGTCTTTAAGCTAATTCTACTTTGCAAGTCAATCAAATTAAAAATATGGGTGCTACCTTTTGTTGCATGTTTAAAGTTTTAATCACGTGCCCACTAGAACAGTAGATAACTTTAATTAACAAATATTACAGATCTTGTAATTAATAAAATAATAAAATAGACTCCCTGAGGCAATTTTTACCACCCTTCTTCTTCACATGCCACATTAATGGACACTTACTGGCTTGGTCTGTAGGGTTCATAAATTTTCCACTTTTGGTGGATGACGTGGATCTCCGCCCCATGTTGACAAGTTGTTTGATTTACTTGTTTGTTTAAAATATAAAACCTAAAACCTGCGAAGACAAAAAGGCTTATTTTTCCTTAATTTACAAGATTTCTTCCTTTTTGTATTTACAAACTTTTCTTCCTGACCATCTCTGAAAAGAAACTTTGATTATTAAGACCTTGTTCTTTCCCTAGTTTTAATGCCCAGGAAAAACAGCTTCAACTTCTCCAACCACAAACAGTTAGATTCCTATTATTTATAAAGGTAATGAGTATGAAGACTACTACACGATTACTACTATCATTAACTCATCAGTTAACTTTCTTTTATGGATCACAGCACTGACCCATCAATTGGAAAAAATCAATCATCAAAGAATGTTTCAGCAATATGACACACACTATGTACATGAGAGGTCATTTGTTCTTTTCTTATATTCTCCCTTTATTTATATGCAGGATGAAAAAGGAGTAAAAGGGAAATGAGGGTAATGATCTGGGCTCAAGGACAAATAGCTCACCCTTGTCTTTCTCCATGGTTTCTTGGCATGTATTCTCATCACCACTAAGACAGTAAAAACTCATCAATTTAAGCCTATTTATTAATTTAGATTTAGTTCCAATTCAGATATAATTCTTGACTCTTAAGCAGAAACTTAAAAACATAAAACCACAAATAGTCAAAATATTATATGAGCTTGTATAAAAATCAAGATACAAATTTTTCTTACTAATGTCTACTTGACTTCCGACTTGTATTTTTTAAGATAACTGAAAGGAGTAATTGTGTATGAGGGAAAGTATTTTGTAAGTCAAAACTTCAATTGACCTAAGAAATTATTATGGGTTTCCCAGGAGGCGCAGTGGTAAAGAAAGAGCCTGCCAGTGCAGGAGATGCAAGAGACTTGGGTTCGATCCCTGGGTGAAGCAGATCCCCAGAAGAGGAAATGGCAACCCACTCCAATATTATTGCCTGAAAAATCACCGGGACAGAGGAGCCTGGCGGGGTACAGTCCATGGAGTCGCAAAGAGTTGGACAAGACTGAGCACACATGCAGGAAGACACTATCATAATCATCTCTTCCAGTTATTCCAAATGGATGACAACTTTCTGATACTTTGCTCTTTCCAATAAGAAAGAGTAATAAATTTCCTTCCCTTTGAAAGCAGACACTTTTAAAAGGAGGTAAAGGGAAGATCATGAGGTAGATTTTTTAAACGGACCATAGAATTATACCATCCCTTCACGAAGGTTTTGTCAAGCAAGTTTATTAGTTAAGACGTCTTCCAGAAAGTGTCCAACTGCCTTGATTTCTGCTAAACGCTTCAAAGCTGTTCCAGTCGCAACTAATTTACCCTGTTAAGGGTTTGCTTCTCAGAAAAACTGGAATTGGGGAAGAAAGGAAGCGAAAATAAGCAAAATTAGCACAAATACAAGCACTCACATCTTTGATGGCCTGTATCTTTTTTGCTTCCCTCTCTCAATTACCCTCAGGCTCATTTTTTTTTTAACCCTCTTCTCCCACAAATGAAACCTAGGATAGTTACAGAGGACACTAGAGCCTTAGTCTGCACAAACTACTTGTTTTGTCCAAACCCGGAGGAGATGGGTAAATCGGGTCACGAATCGTTTAGGGTAACTTTCAACAAAGAGGCTCCCAAGGGACGGAGCCCAAGTCCAGCAAAGGAGCCAACAGCATTTGCAACTGCCGAAACCATAGCGACGGTTGATCCCCGACTCGAGGTAGCAGCAAGCCTAAGGCAACCAACCGGTCAGCGTCAGGAGGAGGCACTGACCGACCCAGCCGAAAACAGCCGCTTAACCGCTGAACGAAGCGCCGCCCAAAGAGACCCCCTAGTCCGCGATAGGGGAGACCCCAACCGCGGAAAAGAAGAGCGGGACTGAGGGGCCTGGCGTTCCCGAAGCAACCGCGCGGCCAGGCGAAGAGACGGGAAAGGTGAAGTAACGGAGTGGAACGATCCAGCACACTCACGCTTCTGCTGGGCTCCTGGGGCTGTGAGAAGCGGTGAGGGGACGATTCTCGGCCCGTTTGACTTCGTAGGGGCCTTCACCTCGGCCTTTCGGTCAACCATCCAACCACCGCCATCTTGAAACCTCGCGCCCCTCCGCCATCCCTACGTCACTTCCGGCCCGAAGATCTCCGCGTTTCTTCGCCCTGGAACCATAGAGAGTAACCGAGAGCTGCAGGACGAGAGTCTCTTCCGCCCCAATACAGTACCGAATTGGTTGGTTATCGGCTAAGAGCCCGCCTCCACCACTCAGTCCAACGGTTTCATGTTGACTGACATTTGTCTAGCCCAATAAGAGTGTGAAAATGAAGCGGGTGGGCTATATGTTTGGCTGAGGCGACTTCTGTTCTACCTCTCGGGCCACAGACATTCTGACCTGACATTCGAGAGTGGTTGTTATTACAGTCCGATTCCAGCTAGGGACCTGTTTAGCGCTATTTGTGTCACCTGGAATTGTGTTTCTGTAGATTTTTTTCGCGTTTATGACGTAAGCGCATGAAATCTTTGGGGAGTTTCTGTTTGAAAAGGAATCCCGGAATAACGCTTGCTGCCGTGCTTCATGCATTTAGCTAGCTTGGTTTGCTCCCGGAAATTGATATTTTTCCACAGAACATCTGTAGACCTGAGGAAATAAGTGTAAATGTTAGAGTCCCAGATTGCTAATCTACAGGATTCGTTTTTTGAAGAGGAAATATGAGGACACACGTATAGTCAGTTTTAAGTTTACGAGAGGTGAGGTGGGTTTACATTGTGTCTTTTTACCTACGGGTCTTTTCACTCACAAAATATCCTTTATGACGTCACCGTACAAAGGGGTGTGTTCCCTTAGGTCTAATCTTCGTCCTTTCCTTCTCTTTTGTATGCTCTTTATCTAAGACTCCTCCCGTATCTTTTCCCCTTAAAGGTGAGTTTAAACATTCAAAAATAGTATCTCTTACCGGAAAGTATGTTAGAAATGGGCTTCCCTCATAGCTCAGTTGGTAAAGAATCTGCCTGCAATGCAGGAGACCCCGGTTGGATTCCTGGGTGGGGAAGATCCTCTGGAGAAGGAAATGCAACCCACTTCAGTATTCTTGCCTCGAGAATCCCATGGACAGAGGAGTAGCCTGACAGGCTACAGTCCGTGGAGTCGCAAGAGTCGGACGCAAATTAGCAACTAAAGAGAGAGAGATGTTAGATAGAGGTCAATTCTTACTATCAGTTATAAATATTCCAAGATCTTGACGGAGATACATACTAGTTTTTTTAGAGAATATTTAAAAGTGCGCTTAACCTGTAGGATTGGTCCCTTACCGAAAGCTTTTGTTTTACAAGATTATTGATATGGTTTTTGGCTGAATTCCGAGTCTCACAAAAGCAGTAAGTTTTTAAGTTTCAGAATCAGATAATAAATGCAAAATAAAAATTTTGAAGGTGGACTAAATTGTGATGTTTTGCAACTAATTTATCGAAGCAGTGTCAGAAGGGAAAGAAAATGAAGACTAACTTTGAAAAGTTATAGTGTTTCATCTAGATTTTTGAGATACGTTGTGCTTTTAAAATGTCAAGACGTTTCTCTTAATTGGATGCAAGAATCAACTGTAACGAACATTCTTGCAGGAATAACTTTTAAAATAATTTTGTAAGTAGAACCCACAAGTCTCAATGGGGAGTTACTGGTTGTTGAAGGATTTAGAAGATAAACACTTGCTTCAGAAATTTAGCTGACCCGCTAGGCCTCTATAGCCTTGGGATTTTTCTGAAATTAGGTAATTAATGTAATGGATCTCCTGAGTTTTTTATATAACAGGGAAAGCTGCCTCCTTTTTGCTAGTATTGAAAATGAAATTTAGTTTTTCTTAAAACTCATAAAGTAATAAATTACACCTTTCCTATAAACAATAAATTCTTAAAAGAGTAGCAAGTGCCTCTGCTACATTTAAATGCATTATATATATATATATGTATATGTGAGATTTGCTTATTTTAAAAATGTTCCAAAGTGTCTAGACATTCACTTGAAAATTTAATCATCACACCACAGTTGGTCAGGATTGATTGCAATTATAGCAATAATTTTTATTTTTTATATTTTAACTTTTATCTCTTAACAGTCAATCTGAATTACAGATTGGTAATTAGTAGAACTTTCCAGAACAGTCGCCTCCTTTTGAAGTAAATTGTTACAAACCAAATTTCAGTCTCTTCCAGTTTAGGGCAAATTGCATTTAAACTGATGGTCACAATTACTGTAGTCTTTTTGTTCAATTCTAAGGCTCAGCTTTCATGTGGGGGCAGAAGTTACTATGTCCCTTAGAACTAAAAATGATGTCTGAAGCTAGGGATAGTCTCTTCATTCAATGCAAATTTTGAAGATTTTGACTGGGAATTGGAAAAGGTCACTCCTACATGCTGCTCTGCAATAGCATTCACCCTAATATTGATCTGTAGAGCACAGTGAGAGGACATCCCAGGATGCAGTCTTTCACTTACAGATCTAGCACCAGCTGATCCAGACGTTCATTGTTGATAGAAAACTCTAGAGTCATCTAGTTGTAGCATTTCTGAATCCTCAGAGTTGTTTACTGTATTTATATCTTGTTGGAAGCTTATGGAAAATGAACCTAATCAGAGAAGCAAAACACCATTATGGAGAGAAAAGCAGAGAAATATTCTGGTGGCAAATAAAGTAACTTTATTTCATTTGATGTTTCACTGTGTTGGTGACCTCAGTAATGGCATGATGATATTTTTCTGAAGCTGACTTGAATTCTACCAGATGCTTCTCGTAACTTTTGATGGCTGCTTGAAGCTGTGTTTTCTCCACTGCTCCCAGGATGGCACGGAAGATCATATCTATCCCAAGGCCAAGAACAGCGACTCCTATGCTACCGAGGAGAGATGCACCAATCTGAGCTAGCACAGTGACCAACTTGTTAATTATGCCTGTTGTGATATTTGAGCCCACAAGTTTAACAGCCACTGCACTGGCGGCAGAAGTAGCTTCTCCCAGGATGACTGAAATAACCTTCTGTACTATCGCAATTTTCTCGGTTTCTCTTTCCTTAATATCCTGAAGTTTTCTATAAAGAGTTGGCTCTAGTTTATCTTTTAGTGCTTCATCCACCTTTTGCAATTCTTTTTGGATGTTCATCATGGATTGGATGATGATATCACAGTTTTCTTTGATGGTCCCATCTCTTTTCATTTCAATGGAAGGTAACGTACATCCTAAGTGTGTGTTTAAAACCCCAATCAGCTTATTGGTGGCATGGAAGCTGTCAGATAAGCAGTCAAGGAGCTCCTGGTGAAGACGGTTTACTTCTTGTCGCCTTTTTGGGTTCTCTGGATAGAGGAAGTCACTTTGAGCCATATTTCAAATATGGTCTCTGAAAAATACAATAGGAAATCTTTACTAAAAATCTTGAAAAATATCTGCTGGTTGCATAGATTTGACCAGAAACTCTTTTACTATATGGATAAAAAAGTAGTATGCTACCTAAGGAATTTCTCAGAAAACTCAACATGTTCTTCAAAATCATTTTTTGAAATGTGAAGTCACTATGAAAATACAGGTAACATAGTATAACCCATGGATGTGTTAATTATGGCATTAGATCTTGTGATGGAGAGAATCCTAGATAGTACAGATTTGTGTCTGTCTAACATCTGATTATGGAGAAGGCAATGGCACCCCACTCCAGTGTTCTTGCCTGGAGAATCCCAGGGACAGGGGAGCCTGGTGGGCTGCCATCTACAGGGTCGCACAGAGTTGGACACGACTGAAGCGACTTAGCAGCAGCAACATCTGATTATTAATAGATGTGATTATTTCCAAGTAATATGTAATAATGTATTTGAAATGGTTAGCTCTTGATTACCAGTGCTTCTTAATTTCCTCAACCTATAGTCACCACTTTGAATAGACCTACCAAATTGATTTTTTCTAATATTTGAAATTAGTAGGGTTAGAAGAATATTAAGATCTCTGACTTTACAGGGCAATAGCTAATTTTATTTATGCACTCATCTTTTATTTGAGTGGTTATTCTATTCACATGGTTTTAAAAGTATATAGTGTATATAGTATATGTAGTTTAAAGTATAACATATGCTGTTATTTTAAAATATTAAAAAAGAAATCAAAACACTTTATATCTTTACAGGCAAACTGTTTGCACTCCAAAACCTAAGAAGCATCCAGAGGCAACACATACAACAATAGAATATTTACAAAAAGATTCTCATGATTAAAGTATATTTGCAAGATTGCTTGAAGTCTCGCTTGGAGAGGCAGTCATGCTGATGGAAGGAACAGGGCAGTTATGAATATCTCTCTGGTTCACTATTTGCAAAGCTTGTAAGTTAAATTCTTTAGAATTGTCTTTACTGCTCTTGGCCATTATTCAGATAAGCTAGAGTTGGCCTCAGAAAGAAGATAATGCCATTCCAGGAAGGTGTGAAGGAATAAGTAGCAAGAATCCACCATAGAGGGGAAAAAAGAGTGCACCATAGAATGAATAAGCCTGATGTTTATATCCTGCTTGTGTTTGTACTTTTGGCTCAGAGAAAGGAGGAAAAAGTGACACTCCTCTGAGTGAATGTGGGTGAAAGTTTGGACCCAGTGAGAACACTGTTCCTCCATATGCGCGATTAGAGCAGTCTTTCTATGTACCTGACACTGATTTTTTTGTTTGAACTCTGGGGAGAGAAGAATAAGAAAATGGAGTCCTTTTTACCTGTGTAGGATCTGGCATATTCTCATTGAGAAAACAATATCCTAATTAACTGGGGCCCTGTCTTTCTACCACCATGGTTTTGGATATTTATAGTGTATTTATAGTATATTTATGGTATTTCTAGGCTTGGATATTGGGAACCTTGGAAACATGGGATGAAGGAATGAAGATATTTTCTGTCAGGAAAGTAAACATGAATATAACCTATCCTCCATGTTAGAAGGATACAATATGGAAATAGAAATGGGAAATTTTTGGAAAAAAAAAAAAGAAAAACAGATTAGGAACATCATTATTTTTGCTCTTAGTTTTAGAAAAATGCACTAGTACCCCTGATGGAGTAAATTGTATCATGATCAGATATTCATTTTTATCTTTCATTTAGATATAGCACACACACACACATACACACACACCAGAGTAAATTGTATCATGGCCAGAAATTCATTTTTATCTTTGATTTAGATATACTACACACACACACACACACACACACCAGACACAAATGTCCACAAATCAGTAAATAGAAAATATCTCAATTCTGTTTAAAGAAATTGTCAAGTGAGTGAAGTGAGTGAAAGTCACTCAGCTGTGTCCGACTCTTTGTGACCCCATGGATTATATAGTCCATGAAGTCCTCCAGGCCAGAATACTGGAGTGGGTAGCCATTCCTTCTCCAGGGGATTGTCCCAACCCAGGAATTGAACCCAGGTCTCCCACATTGCAGGCGGATTCGTTACCAGCTGAAACACAAGGGACTATTAAATATTCCCCAAACTCACTATTGGGTTGCAAACTGCAGTTTGCTAATCACAAACTATTACTTTGATTTTGCTTTTTTCTCCTAGAAATTTTACATTAAACCTTTTTGTTGTTGTTCCTAGTATTCAGATCTTATCATGAAATGAAAACTCCAGTTTCTGGCTCTGAGTTCTGAAGATCACAGACTACATCCCCATTCAGAAATTTAAGTGAGAAGTCTTTCATACCCTGAACAAGTGAAAAATTTCTCTAAAAGCTATCATATGTGATTATTTGAAGGCATAACTTTTAGAAAAGGTGTGTGGTTCTATTTACCTGAAGATAAAGAAGAGATAACCTTCCCCTTTGATAAGAGGTTAAATGCTTCCAGCTGGTCAGTTGCTTTTCAGTTAATTCATTGTTTTAACACAGGTTGACAAATTAATCATAAAGTACATTTGAAAGACTAGACTTTTCCTTTCCTAAACATTGAAGCACCTTAAACACAGTATGAACCAGTGTTGTACCAGGTGCAAGAGTAGATGGAATTATGGAGCAAAATAGTCCCCAGAGGAGACCCTGATATATGTTGGATTTAATATATAATGTATGTAGACACTCAAATCAGTAATAATTGAAATTAGTATTCCATAAATGATTCTGGAGTATTAAAAAATTTTAATGTTATCAGTGTAAAACTTTAAATGTTATCAGTATAGTACATGTAAAAAAAAAAACAAGTGATACAATAGCTAGAAGAAAATAGATAATTTTTAAATGTCTGTATGGAGGGCTTCATAAGCTTAAAACCAGTGGGAATAAGTCACACAAACTTTAACAATGATGACCATGTAAAAAGAACTAAAACTAGTTAAAATGGAGGAAAAATGAAAAAATATTGATTTCTAAAGTTTAGCTGTTAATAAGGGAAGCAGTAATAATCTCATAGCTAAACACACTTTGAACAGACAGTAAAAGAAGAAATAGTAATAACTAATTGATGAAAGGTTCAGTCTTACCATATATCAGACACACTGTGTTTTCATCTGCAAAAGTAATGTTTTCTTTCCTCTGCATACTAAAAACCCTTGGGCATTCACTTTTATAGTCTTTTTCCTGGGTTCCAGATATCCATAATTTTGTGCCAATAATAAGTCTGAGTAAGAAACATCATGATGTGCTCAGAATTATTTTTTACATCTAATGAAGAAAGACTTTTATTCTCTTGAGTCAGGCTTACCTTCCTTTTTTTCACTTGGGGAAGGGGACTTGACAGTTTCTTTCTGCAGAGAGATCTTCAGCAGGCCTGCCACTATACTTGCCCCAGTACTGAATACAGTTTAAAATTATTTCTATCCTGACAGTGAGATAAACACTAGAGAACTAGGTGGAGGAGAGGTGGCTTTTGAAGGTGAAACCAAGGATTATGTTTTGAGCAGGTGAAACTTGAAGAGCCCAATGAAGGAAGTAATTTAATAATGCAGTAGCAATTTATCTAATGGATAGTAGTACTTTACTATTACAAGGTAGTATGCTAGGCTCTATAGAGCCTACAGAAATGAAGTAGATACAGTCCCTGCTTTTATAGAATTCCTAATGTAGGTAGGAAGTTAAGACGTTTAAGACTGCAGGGTCAAACTGTAGGCAGTATATCGTACCAAATTATAGATAGAGGTGTGCATGCCTTCTGCAAACTCATTTAAAAGAACTCACACTTTGAAGTAAGATACATCATATGGTATCACTTCTAAATGGGAATCTAAAAAAAAATGGCATATGTGAACTTATTTACAAAACAGAAACAGAGTCACAGATGCAGAAGATAATCTTATAGTTACCTGGGGTAAAGGGAGGGGAGGGATAAACTGGGAGATTGGAATTGACATACATACACTACTATATATAAAACAGATGAGTAATAAGCATATGCTGTATCTTACAGGGAACTCTACCCCATATTATGTAATGACCTATGTGGGAAAAGAACCTAAAAAAGAGTGGAGATACTTATAACTGATTCACTTTTCTGTACAGCAGAACCAACACAACATTGTAAAAAAAGAAGAAAGTGAAGTCGCTCAGTTGTGTCTGACTCTGCGACCCCATGGATTGTGCCCTACCAGGCTCCTCAGTCCATGGAATTTTCCAGGCAAGAGTACTGGAGTGTGGGTTGCCATTTCCTTCTCCAACATTGTAGATCAGGTTTATTCCAATAAAAATTTAAAAAACAAAAAAAAAAAACCTCTCGCTTTAATAATATTGACCCTGGGGCCATGTGGAGACATCCAGTTATCTAGGGAAATGATTTGTACCCTTTCAAACTGATGCTCTTAGATACATGCTTGATATTTAAAGGACAGGTTATACACCATTTGGAGAAGGAAATGGCAACCCCACTCCAGTACTCTTGCCTGGAAAACCCCATGGACGGAGAAGCCTGGTAGACTACAGTCCATGGGATCGCAAAGAGTCGGACACGACTGTGCGACTTCACTTTTTATACACCACTTGAAAAATCTTAGTTGGCAATGGGCAGCATTTGCACTATTGCCCATGACAATTTAGCTCTGACACTTGAATTGCTCCCTTCCCTCAGCAAAACGAAAAAGATCTGCCATCATTTCTTAAAGATCACAGTTGTTACTCAGGCATGCTTCAAGTGATATCTTACCAACAATATGTAGTACTGTACCCAAGAGGAATTCTGGGCTGTATACTTCCCTCTATCTTATTGCATTTCAGGTTTGACCTTTTAAATACTGACTTTAAAATTCAATCTTTTAAAATAATTTAAAGTCATTTAAAAAATGATTTTTAAAGTTCAGCAGGCAATTAAGTGGTGTATTTAATCCAGCTCTGATCAGCGGCATCTTTTGTATGGAAGATGTCAACTTTACACTATTTTTTATCACATGATAGTGCTCCTAATTAGCAATGGGCAGTTACCATTCACTTATGTACAGCCTACTTGGATCTGTTGTAGTGGTTCATGAAATAGAAAGAGTCCTGCACAGCCTGATGGGGAATTGCTAACCGGCAGGTGGAGCACTTGGCCTCTGGCACATTAATTTCACCCCAGCTTTTACTAAAGCAGCTGTGCATTCTCTGCTGCTGTATTTGGGCTGTGGGTGAGTAAAATTTTGTGTGATAATAGAGTACTGTTGCTAAAACAGTTTGGAAATCACATGTGTTTTGGCTTATTTTATTTAAAAAAAGGAAGTAGACAAATCTTGAAGCTACAGCTCGTTTTAGGGACTTGGAATGAAAACAAAGACTAGCTTCAGATGGATTATTGTTGGACCAAACTCATCAATTTTGTTGAAATGACAAGTAAACATTCGTAATTAAAGAACATGTAAGAAATGGTACAAATATACTGATGATTGTATCTAAAAGTTAATTTTGTGATACTGGGCTTCCCTTGTGGCTCAGATGGTAAAGAATCTGGCTGCAATGCAGACCTGGGTTCGATCCCTGGATCAGGAAGATCCCATGGAGAAGGGAATGGCTACTGATGATTGTATCTAAAAGTTAATTTAGTGATGTGACAGTTGTTTTAGTTTTTCAGGAAAGGAATGACCTTAAAAATAAAAATGTATTGATTATCACATATGCAGATAAATATTTCTCAGGATACTTTTGTGAATTACGTAGTGCACTGACTGTCCAGTGCTATAGGAATTTAAAGAGAAATTTTAGGACCGAGATTATTAGAGGAAGATGCATGGATAAAGTGACAGGTGATTGTGCTTTGATAGGTGGTAAAATTTAAAAGCTTTGATAAAACAAAGTATTTTTTAAAGTTTATAGCAATAATATATAAATACTTTATTATCCACAAGGAAAAACATCCATAAACCTCCCATCATGTTTTTTTGAA